ACAGAGACATAAGCAGAAAATGGTAGCAGAAACGGGTAATTCATGCACAGGAGTTTGTAGCATTTTTGGGAGACAGTCATTACTGCAAACATACATCGACAATTAACGTTACTTGCTTTCTTGCACTTGGATAGTTTGTTGGACGCGAATTGCCGAACACGCGGCAGCATTGCGGCGAAATGATCCCAATTCTCAAATTGCGGCTCATTCGACAAGACCCGACCACACATTCAAATTTGATGAGGCCCAACTTCTCGCAAGAGGTGACAATCGTGTGTGCCGAGCATTACTTGAATCATGGTTCACGGGCCCTCAGTTCATAAACAAGTGCATTGATTTGCCCAATCCATATTCGGTGCTGAGACTCAATTTGGCCAAAGCAAATCGCCACTTGGGGAACGGACAGGCCATCACGTCATCCTACGCCAACACCGGAGAGCCAGATGGCCAAACAATCATCACGCCCGACCTCGCCACGAGTGATGAAATTTCAGCAAGTCAGAGCCCGCATGCCGTCCAACAAACTATCCACACGCAAGAAGACAATTAACGTTAATTGTCGTTATATGTTTGCAATAATGACTGTATCCTATAAATACTGCAAATTCCCGTGCATGTATTACCCATTTCTGCTGCTATTTTCTGCTAACGTTTCTGATGATGAATCCGCGACGTATCTTGAAACGTCAGGCGAATAAAAGTATTGTCCCAGCGATCGCGTCCTAAACTTCTCAATAAATTCCTGGGACTCGCATGTTCGCTTTCATTGTCAGAGTAAGAGTTAGAGTCGGGATTATGTCAAGGCTTAAGGCTTGACTTTGCGTTAACTGTAGGCTTTAAGTTGGGATTAGTACTAGGCTTAAGGAACGGGGAATATGTATCTTTCCTGAAACGTATCGCAGGGCTACATATTTCAAGTGAGTGGGGTATTCCTCTCCCCTTGTCCCGCTTGGGTGGCTATACAAGTCATAATTACTTAAACTTACACCGTAACCCTAATCTTAACCCGAATCCTACCCTATACCCCATTCCCCTACAGTTAGCACGAGCCCTAACCTTAAACCTATCTTTAAACTTAGCCCTATCTTCCCTGAAATGTAGCGCGAGGATTCCGGCATTGCGGGCGGTTCCTTATAAGACTTCCTTACCGGATTTCAGATCGTCCCCCTGTTTATTGGGAGCTATATTGCTGCGGTGCGCAGTGTACCAACATCTTTTATCTTTTGTGATACGCATAATCTTAACGCCCAAAGCACTCGAGTGGTTTGTTGACTGGGTCGGAGGATTGTTTGTTCTGACAACATCGTGTTGACTACACTTCTACGTTAGAGATATTTTGATAACGTGCATCCTGTCAGGGATGCAATAAAGCCGCGATTAGATCGAAGCTTGTAAAAAGCAGATTTCTCCAACTATGAACTGCTAAAGTGCCTCTGGACTGAAAGTCACACAGGTAGTAGTGTAAGTGTGCTTCGCAAGTAGTTTACCGGAAGAGAGCGAGATAGGCATCCACTGGAACGGATGTGCCCGTCTTTAAGGCATTCAAACCGCCCTCTCACCTGCAGAGTCTTGTGCCCAGCCCTTAAGCACAATCCACACCCAGTGTTGACATTTACGATCTGCGCGCCAGGCGTAATTTGTAGCCATCCCATGAGCCACATAGAGTAAGCGGTGTGCGCAGAACTGCACAGTCTCTGGAAACGAAATCGCGGTTTGAAACAGCAGAGCACTAATGCCCTCCGCCAGGTCAACGCCTCTTTCTTCGCCTTGCGGCCTGGGAGTGGCCTCCCCCCCTCCCCCCTTCCATGGCTTGTGCTGCCTCTTGAAGGGCGCCGCGTTAAAATGTTGTCCACGTGTTCTCCTGTCCAATAGGGTTCGCCGTTAACCCCTCGCCGTGCTCTAATTACCCAACGTAGACCTCTTAACCTTGCCGGACTTACCGACGTAACAGAGGCGAGTACACAGAGCTGAAAGTGGAACCTTGCAGGGTATAAAGGCGGGTAGTTGTTCGGTCCATTTGCTTTCGCTCGTCCAGACGACGGAAACTGGGGAGGGGGTTGAAAGCATGCGCACCGGATGTGCGACAACGCTTGCCTGACTCCACTCAGTGGACAGGGAGCCCAGGCTATGACATAAGGGGTCCAGGCTTGCCATGTTGGTGTGCCTGGGAGGCTGTAGTGTTTTGATGGAGGTGACTCAGGGAATTCCGTGCGGTACGGCCTCGAAATTAGCTTTCCTTGCTTGGGCTACTTTAAAATTAGTCATATCCTTAACTTTTACTACCAGAGTAATTGCATAATTATTAATCGCCTGTAGTACGACAAGGAAGTTTAGAGTTCTCAGTAAAGCTGACGTGGAGGAAAATATAGTGTAGTTAAGACTATGTTCATTCCAAATCCAAATTGTACACAGAGTCCCTAATCAAATTTGGGTCTCTTAGACGGATTTACTAAGGGACTTTTAAAAGGCTCATTGATTCGTCTGAAAAATAAAAAATGAAACAATTTTCGAAAGTCGAACGGAGCCCTCCACAGTGGGCATTTTTTTCATGATAGAAAATTCAAAAAATGACAGGGAATAAATTATGAGTAGAGGCAAATCGCGGTCATCGAGAATCAGAAACTCGACTGTATGGAAGCTTCCTAGAGTCCTAGTCACCGTTTCTGTCTTCGGATATCACAAAGCTATGAATGTCAAGCGGTGAAGGATGGATCTTATGAGATGTTGACTTCTACTGGGATGGGTTTTTAGCCCAACACTATACTGTATCGAGAGTCTAGTGTAAGTTTAGAAGAGCGTTCACCGGGAGACTTTTATTAGATGTCCGACATTTCGGGTGGTTGGGTCATCCGCCCAGCTTCAGAAACTGAATATTCGCGCTTACGGCTCTCGGCACATAGCCCGTTCTTTCCCATGTGCGTAGCCTGCC